GGCCCGGCGGCACATGGCAGCCGGTCGCCGGGCGGCCGCGCAGGTTCTCTAGCTCCGGGCTGCCGCGGGCGCGGTGAAGCGCTGCGGGTCCGCCGGGGTACCGCGGGAACTAAAATGCAGCTGACTGGCTAAAAAAAAAAGGCTGCAGCGTTTTCTTAGCCTCGGGATACAACTCCTTTAGTAAGAGCATGGAGACGGTGGGCAAGAAGCAGTACCAGGTCCAGCACGGGTCCTGCAGCTACACCTTCCTCTTGCCCGAGGCGGACAACTGCCGGTCCTCGGCTCCCTACGTGCCCAACGCCGTGCAGAGGGATGCGCCTCTGGACTATGACGATTCCGTTCAAAGACTGCAACTGCTTGAAAGCATCATGGAAAACAACACTCAGTGGCTGATGAAGGTAGGGTAGCTTTTCTAGAAATCTTGTTTACAACATCCTCTTATCTAGTTCATTGTGGGGTGTGTTGGTTTTTTTGTTTTGTTTTTTTTTTGTTTTTGTTTTTTCCCTTTCTTGTCACAGTTTCTAAATTCACAAAATGCATTACCTAAACTAAATTTCTGAACTGCCCTTTCAATCAAAAAGTTGTTTTGGAGTCTGAGAGCAGAATTTTATTGACTGGAAAGGAACAGAGAACCGCACTGTTCTGCAGAGCTCGTGCTTTAAAGTTTGTCACTACATTGGAGTTGCTTGGACAAACAGTAATTACACCCGCAGACGGGCTGCGAGCATGTCTGAAATTTCTGACATGAAAGAACCAGCTACTAATTTATAATGAACTGACACAGACTGTTTAATCTTTGTTTAAAGAATATAGAGTGTACCTTTATCCTAGGCATGTTTGAAAAATGTGATTTGAAACGTGATTTCAAAACTGGCACGCAGAAATTAACATGTTAAGCCCCACTGATAAAGAACAGTAATCCTGAGCAAAGGCTGCAAGGCTGACTTGCAGTGAAATTAGCTGCGTGAAGTGATAGAATTTCAAGAAAGCTCATTAGCGGATATCCTTTGCATCCTGTAACATTTCCACTCAAACGTACAATATTCAAGGAAAAAATCCTCTGGAAAAAGGTGTTGCAGATGCCCCATAGCGTCCTTTAATGCAACCCCATTGCAACTAAGGGAGAATGACATGTTTATTGCCAAAGTGGCAACATTTGTACAATTATGCCTGAAACAGCGGAAAAAAATCCTTACACTGCGTATATTCTTAATATTACTGGAGAATAAACTTGATCACTATTCCGCACTTTTATAGAAGCTCATTTGATTCTAAATGCTTTACAGCTCAATAGATTTTGATTTTAATAAACCTTGATTTCACTGGTACCTGAAAAAGTGTGATAGTACAGTTTAATTGCATAGTACATTTATGAGTGTTTGTTTCATACCAAGATGCCCATCTTCTAAGCAATAAATATTTTGAGGACTTAGCTGAGCAGTATCTCCAAATAAGTGTCCCAGTGATGTCATAAGGGTTTTTTCATAACGAAAGAAATACTTGTTGCGAAAGGAGAGAATTCACAATTCTCTCCAATAAGTAGCCAGTTCTTATATGACCGCAAAATAATTTTGCATGAGGGTTCCCTTCTCTCATCAGTTACAGTCACAGAAGTAGCATGGTATAACCAAAGAAACCTGCTGGGAAATTTGTGTGTGTAAGAAACAGAAGTCACACTCCAAAGCAGAAAGCACAGTGTTTTCATCTACCTGAAAATGAACCCTCAAGCTTAAATCCCAAATGCATACACTTGAAGGCTGCAGTGTGGGACTCTAAGTCTGTCTTTATGGGTTTAGGATGCTTAATTTAAACACCCAAATAATGTCAGTTCAGTAGCATTTGGTTTTTTAATCTTACAGGCAAACATATTTCCCTCCACATACTTACTTACCTTTCTGTTAATTTACAACACTCCCTATTGTCAAGACCAACATTAACAGATGTGCAATGCAGGATGAAAAACACACAAAGTAAAACCGTCTAATCTGCCCAGCTGCTAAGCAATTTCCTAACATAAATAGTAAAATCACACACAAGACTCCAGTGCTAAATGCCACTTAAGTAGGCAAACACAGTATCATAAGTGGCATCAGGTAAACAGAAACCAGTAAGCAAATTCCAGCATCCTTATTTAGTAAAAGCTATGCTTTTTCCTGTCAGTCCCTGGGAAATCAGTTACAAGAGGAATAGGATAAGTATATCTAACCCATTCTTTGGGGGATCAAAAGGCAGATTCTGTTTTACAAGATAGAGAAATGTTTCTTTTATTTGAGCAAAGATTTCCAAATAAGATGCTTTAGAATAGCCTGATTTTTTTCCCTAGCAGTTCTGTAGCTAAACATCCTGTAAAATAACTGCTGTTTGCCTTTTTCACTATTTTAACACCTGCTCTTTATGTCATCTGTTTTGCTCACAAAGAGACTCCAACAAAAGTAGCTTTTCCTCAGATTTGCTTTGCTAGAGACACCTGGTTTGCAAGTGAAGATGAAAAGCAAACAATAAGCTTTAAAGTTGCTTACAGAGTTTACTTGCTGTTTTTTTAAGGTAACTAATACACATTCCTAGGTTCGTATTTCAACTTGCCAAAATACAATGCCAGATTAGTCAAGGCAGGGCAAAAATTATAAATTGTTCACTTAGTTTTTTATACTGTATTGAAAGGGTAGTATAAGATTGATTTTAAAAATAACCTGACATTAACTTCACAGCAATTGCACAAAAAGCTGCTTTAGGTCTTGCTTTTGTAAAAAGCTATTTTTGCTCATTTAAGAGGCAGCACCTGTTTTGTTTAGAAGTTGTGTAGGAAAAAAAAAAAGACAAACTTTTACTGTGAATTAACCTTTAAATGTTGTTCCTGAAGTATTGCACATCCCAAAACAGTTTTACACTCCTCCCCCCCTCCTGCCTTTAATCCATCAACTAAAGGAAACATTTGGTTTCTGAATGAACGCTGGGCTGTATGAATGGAACAGCATGGGAAGTGTGCGCTTCATCTGGTTAATGGACAAACACAATGGGGAGAAAATGAGTTACGTAGGTCCAGGTTCTTTTCTGATCTGCTCCTGCACAGAGACCAGACTTCGTTTTGCAACTGCTACAAATTGCTGCTTCATGAAAATGCTTTTTTTTTTTTTGGTCTGAACTGTATTAATGCCTAATGCCACTACTGTACACGCCACACATAAAAGTGGAGAATGTCTTTTCAAAAGTAGATTATGTATAAGCGTTCAGATGACATACTAGAACAAACCACTATTCCACCTAATCCAGTGTTAAGCAGTAAGCCAGTAAGCGAGGCTGTAGAGCAAAGGCCAAAACCCTCTATCAACTGTGCAGCAATATACCTGAAATGAACTTTCTCCTTTGACTTTCCCTACCTTGACATCAATTTGTATACTGAGGTATAAGATTTTTTCCTAATGCTTGTGTGGGCAGGGAGAATAAACCTCTCAATAATAAGGTTTTCAATTAATTTGAAAGGATAGCAGATTGGTATACAGCTGAGATACAAGACTGGAATTTTAATAGCCAACATACATATCTACATTTATACTTTGGAATTTTTTTATATAAAAACAACATCAAATTTTCAGACAGTCGTAGAAGACAGGCAATTCCCTTAAGTTCCACAATTAAACAAATCTCTATCTGAATTAATGGCAGCTTTACCATTTGGATAATGGCATTTCTACTCAAGGAACTGCATTTTTTCAGGTATGAAGACATTGAAATAACTGAATGCTGACTTGAATTTACTTCTTAGTACATGAACTAGATCCTATGATTCAGGAGATATGACTGTCCAAAGCGGTAATGTAAAAGAAATGGGTCACACTTTCTTAGTCTTTCCTATTATAAAAGCTGAACACAATGTATGATCAAATTGATTATAGCATATGGAATATACCTAATTTACTTGTAGTCCATCAGCAGACCAAAAGACTAGAAAATAAAAGTCTGTGCCAGGAATCAACATTTAAACCTAAGGCCAGAACTTCATCCTGAAACCATCCCAGCAGACTGAGAGGGACCCTTTACTGATAGAGATAAAGTATCTTTGGATACTCTGAACTGAGATTCATTTTTTCTTGTCATGATACCCTGGAAGCTAAAAGCCCTTTGTCGCTTTGAAACATGTTTCTTCCCTAAGCATCGCAAAATCAGATGTTTTAAGATGTACGGGAATGAATGCTTACAATTTTTGATGAGTAATTACAAATTAAAGGTTATAATGATTGTCATACTTGTATTGAACTTCTCATAAGAAAAGATACTCTGACATGCCATCATCCAAAAACATCTGCACACAATGGACAAGGACAAATACATTGTGCAGTGCAAGTATGCAAGAGATGATTCTGACTCTGAATTGAGAGCTGCATTCCTTTCTTAAGTAATGCATCTGTTTTCACTTATTGTGAAAAATGCTTGTTTCTGTCTATCAACTATGTATTTGCTAAGCAATAGAGTCCTGGCAGGACCCAAAAGAAAATACTTTTTTAACTTTCAGATTAGTACATGTTACCAGATAAAGTTTCCACGCTACTTTAAATGATTGGACTATGAAGTTTATTGTTATATCTCCTGTAGGTAAATTTCTGTGAAAGGATGTGAAATGACACTTTTGCATGTGTTTAAAAACTATGTTGTAAAGACTATTTCTGCATCATTCCACAAATACCAGATTGGCGATACAGGTATGAAGTTGTACAAAATCAACAAAGACGACTAGAGATTTTCTTGTACAGATCTACAAGACAAAATTGGAGTTGAGAGCTCGCCACCTCCAAGACGCTTTCAGTAAAAAATGTGATAAACAGAGGCTTGTTTTACTGAATCAGTCTCTTACTAGCATTCAAGATACATTTTTATGTCCTTTGTTTGTTCTTAATATGATCAGAAACTTACCATCTTTGACTGCTCTAATCACCAAATGGGGAGACTTTCTCCATTAATTATTGACATTGAGTGCTTTAATTTTCTTCTCTTTTCTCATTCTTTTCAAGTGCACATATAGGAAAGGAGCCTGAAGATGCTTGAATTGACAGTTTCCAGTTCTTGTTTGCATACTGAACATATAAAACTTGACAGTATAACCTTTAGAATCTCTTAGAAACTTTTGCAGAGACTGAAGTTCAGAATGGTGTTTCTTTTTATAATTATCTTTTTACTGATCCTTTTTTGTTGTTAATGATGAACAAATTCAGTAACCTGCATGTCCCCATAATTTACCAAGGGAAACAACTGATACTGTTTGCTTGATTCCTAATCACAAGAAACAAGCTATTGCGTATGTATTGCTGAGAATGGAATTTTGCCTATAAGACAGATACCCATTTCTAACCTTCAAAATATCACATCTGGTATCTTCAGTGACTGTATTATACTGTCCTTTTCA